ACACCCAGGGTCCCATTAATAGGTAATATATATTATGGAATTCATTCATGTTTTTCCACCTTTTATGTTCACAACACAGTCATAAAAGAGTAAAAAGTATACCTGATTCTAGAGCTACATCTAAATAGATGAATAGATCTAAATATGAATAGATCTAATTATCATAGATTGAGTAAAATATATTTTGGTCAATCAGATAAACCTAGGCCATCCTAAAAAATGTTTGTTTGCTGTTCTTCAAGATAGACAAAAATAATTTGCTACGTAAACCCTATATGAATAGATCTAATTATCATAGATTGAGTAAAATATATTTTGGTCAATCAGATAAACCTAGGCCATCCTAAAAAATGTTTGTTTGCTGTTCTTCTATCCAGAATTTTTGAGGTGGGTAGGAAGATCGGGATTTTTTTCATTGACTACTTGACTGCCAATAACTTTAAAACATGTTTTTTTATTCCCAAGGGCAAAAAAAATTGAGTATTTTAGGGAGTTGGTCATGGGACAGTGAACAAAATCTTTTTTTAATGATGGCCTTATTAAAGGTGTTTTATACTGATGTACTTGATAGATATATATTTTATTTTTACATATTTTCAACAAAATGCAAATGAAAGTTAATTTCTTTGAAAGTTGAAAGGGTTTATATCATATAGGCAGAAACAAATAGATGTTTTTAATGATTGGTAAAGTTTTTTATTTAATTTTTTAATTACCTTACTTGTGTTTAAAAAAAGCAACTCTGCCCAGAGAAAAGCGATCTCTGTATGGTTTTGTGTGCCTGAATGTGTCTCCAAGTTCAACATTTGTACACCTTTTGTATTTTTTATTATTTAATATTTTGTTTCATGGAAATATGTGCAGGTACAGAACTGGAATCCATGTTAGGGGGATGCTGCAATTTAGAAAGAACACTGACATCATTGACAGTCTGTCTGTATTTGCCATGAGTAGCACTGATGCCATGGCAGGAAGTGATGAGATTGAAGTGCTCGCCTTTCACTACAGCCTTGACCCTGATGAAGCCCTTGCTTGGTAGGACCAGCTGAAGGAAGTGATCAAAGACACCAACAAGAGCATCATAGAATGACATTCTGCTATCATCCAAACAATCACACAACTGAACAAAACATTTAGAAATTACTGTCTTCTATTCACCAACTTATGGCAACTGCTGTGGTTCTTTCAGTTAGTACTGCTGAAATGGAGTATATCTTCTCCAACGTGCACAGTCATAGTTGAAACTGTCCACAAACTCTTACTGATCAGGAAGTGTGACAAATACATGGACTTTGAGAGAGTGGTTAAGAGATGGCATTCACAGAAGTCCCGGCATATTTTACTTTGACGTATGTTATGCCAAGATGAAGTATGAATTCTGTGTTAAAGTGTTGCATAACTGTAGGTCAATTCTGTCAGGGAAAAGGCAGAAAATACAAACTCCTGTGACTAAAACACCAAGCCAAAAGCTCATGAAAGCACTCACAAAATGTAGGTTCATTTCACTATTTGTTAAACTTGTATATGAGTAATTCTGCCAGAATTAAGAATGTAAAATGCATAAGAAGCAACTGCAGAAAAAAATAGTGTTGTCTGTGGCATACTGTACCAAACAAATGAAGCTGATGTTAGGAAAAGAATGACTGAGGCTTTGTCATAACATTAATCCATAATTGTCTGCAGTAATATGAGAAACTCAATGGATACAGGCAGACAGAGTTATGACTTGCTGGTTAATAAAAAATGATCAACAACAAAATAAAGTTGTAAATGTTTATTTTTATTACTTAGAAAAGCATACATTTACATCTATACAAATAATGAAATTAACTTTGACATGTTATTCGAAAACCAAAAACAATGCATATAAAGTATTGTTACGTATCTGCTTGTCCTTTCTTGATTAAACCAGTTTATTCTTCCTCGATACAAGCTTTTAGTACACAGAAGTTCCACAATCAGTACGTTTCTTGTCACTTTAAACTTAACATCTTTTATAGTACACGC